TTTACAGAGAACACATACCTAAAGCCGCTGAAATCTAAGCACCACTTCACGCCTACCTTCACAACACGAAGAAAAAAGATAAAACGTCAATCGAATGGAACGATGAAGCCACGAAGGCATTTGAAGCTTGTAAAATTGCGATCCAAAATGCAGCTTTACTCGCTCACCCATCACACGAAGCAACCCTTGCTATCTTCAGCGACGCATCCGATCTCTCAGCAGGAGCAGTTCTCCAACAATACAGCAATGGGAAATGGCAACCACTTGGATATTTTTCGAAGAAGTTCTCCGATACTCATCGTAACTACAGTACATTCGACCGAGAGCTACTCGCTATTTACATGGCTATCAAGCACTTCAGAAAAACGTTCGAGGGTCGAAACCTGATCGTTTTTACCGACCACAAGCCATTAACACATATGTACACGAATACTACACATTGTTAAACTATGCAGGATTCGAACCCGTGACCCGCAATGCTGCAACCAAACACTCTTAACTTTTAAACAAACCTATAAGAGAACACACATATTTGCCTAACGCTCTTTAACACTGATTTTGCAAGGAAAGGGAAGGTCTCATAAGTCCCTTACTTGTCTCTAATTAGCAAGCAAATGGATCGCGCCTTAATATTGCGAGAGAAGCGTACCAATAACGTACAAAGTATAGCTGCAATTTCTTAATTTTGTTTAATACCTTAGCTTTAGGCTTAACGAGAATGGCTTAGCGACCCGAGTTCAATTCAACAAAATTCAAAATTCAATTAATAGAAATTTTGCAATTACTGTATGCAACGAAACAAAGCGTCAGGCATTAAAACGTACACTATCACACATCCAAATATGTTTTTTTATAGAAAAAGGATGACAAACGAGCACACAGTCCACCTGATGGTAAGTGGATTATGTGGCCCATAGGCATCTACATTTATCGTCGATTACGCAGTTGCATTGTCACCCGTGAAGACTAAGATGGAATGCATCGTTTCCAGTAAAAAGGGTCTCCGGTTCTCTACACTCACCATGCGAAACATAGCAACGTTAAGCTTCGGATAAGAAATGTAACCTTAAAACTAAAAGTATGAAGTACTATAGGCAAAAGGGCACCCTACGACCTTAAAGAAATCCATAGTGTCTTATTTTAAGTTTACACATAAACATGTTTAAAACTTTTTGATCAGTTTATTGATGGTATTTACACACAAAGAAGACAACGGCGGGTACTAGAAGCTGCGGGGAAGCGGGTGTGGCATAGGCCGTGCGCCCGCGTCTGTCTCTACTTCGATCTCAAGCACAATCGCAAAAGCTCACCTAAAATAATTAATTATCTAGTTGTAACTACTCAGCGAATTAACCTATTTGATGATTATACAGGTTCTATTTCTAGGATCTAACAGGAGCATAGGTTTTGCCTCTTTTCATGTTTCTATGTTTAACAGCTCTGTGAAACTTTTAAGAGTTTGGCAAGAGAAGCGACACAACGATTTATGTCTCTGAGAACTAAGTAACTTTAATGTAAAGCGCTAAGTGCGTAGACAATTTCCAACCTTCCAGCATTGTGTAGTCATGGTTGAAATTCATTTTAATCGACGGAGCTATAATAACCACGATATCTATATTTGTTTCCTAAAGTTTAGATAAAAGTAGAGATTAAAAGTAGAGATAGCGATATGTATGTACTATTGTACATAATACATCTTAACCCGAAAAAAATTACGTTGTCCCGTGTCGGAATTTGAACCCTGCACCACACAGCCGTATCATTATTATGTTAATACTTTAATATTGAAAAACGTATATTTTTTAGTATTTTATTCTAAAAAAAGTTGAATGAAATATCATTCTAAAGTGGTTTTATACGCGGTATAGACGCTGTCGCTATACTCGTATCATGGTTGCAGCGCGAATGAATCGGCTCTACCGGGTTGGGACCACGCTCTCACAGAACATCGGCGCAAAATATATACTCTATGCTGCTGTATTTCGAATGGGGAATGTTGAGAACTGAATACCCTTTTTACTGGAAACGAGGCATTCCATGGGTATCTCAGGGGTAATTTGATTCGTAATCGAGGTTAACAGTAGACTGTGTGTCTGTGGGCCACAGTATCCACGTACCATCAAGTCGACTATGTGCTCATTTGTCATCTATATATATATATATATATATATAAGTTGTGCCATATATATGAAAAACTTCATGTCTGTATGTTCCCGTTAAAGCAGGTATATTAAGCAAACATGCGCATATGATTTTTCCATACAAAACTCTTAAACCATTTAAGTGGTCAAATTGCGACCTGACGCGACACTAGCACTTATGAATAGTTATTATTTCATTTGATTTTTTTACTTCTGCCTGTATGGAGCTGAAAGGAATTGCTATCTTATAGAGGGGTATTGTAGAGGCTATACACCTTTGATATACGAATAGATAGGTTAAAAGGGGATGCCGACTTCAAAAGAGGGTTCTGATTTAGGGCACATCTGGTTTTGACATTTAGAAATTAGGTTGAAATTATTATGTCAGTATATGAATGTCGTTTAAAACTCACCTGTACCTCACCTGTGTGTCACTTCGTTGTATACCAACTTTTTCTATGTATGTAAATAAGTACGCCATATCATCCCGTGAGTGTCGCTAGAGGCGACAGAAAGAAACAAAAATGTAATGTAATGGTGGGGATGATCTGGAACATGTTCACAGATTGCAGACTTCCCGGAGCGCCGGTGCTTCACGTCAGCTATAATTATTATTATTATTATATTATATTTATATATGTTATGTATGTATGTATATAATTTTCTCACCTGGTTGGGTTCTATAAATATATAATTATATTAAAATGAAAAGATAAAATGTACATAAATATCAATAAAATAAAATAAATACAAAAACTACATAAATAAATAAGATCCAACCAGATGGGAGCCCTCGGCAGGGGGAGACCAGACGGCCGAGGGTTAGGGGGAAAGGGAAAGAAACCGACGGACGATGCGGGCGGTATCGAGGAGCACCGCCTTCTGCATTTGAGCCCGGAGCGGTCCGTCTCGGAGTCCCAGTCGCCTCAGATGACCCGAGAGGCTGACTGGGATTAGCCCATTCGCAGAGACGACTACAGGAATAATTTTGGTCGACACAACCCCACATGTCGGTCACCTCGTGAGCCATCCAAATATTTTGTTTGTTTATCTGTTTCGACTTTCACGAGGTTCTCGTCATACGGAATGGTAATGTCGATCAAAAATATACTTGACTGTGCCCGGTCCATCAGCACAATATCAGGCTTATTCGCAAGAATAGTCCTGTCTGTGATGATGGCCCGGTCCCAGTAGAGCCTGGCGCGGTCATTTTCGAGAACGGCTTCCGGCAAGTACTTGTAATACGGCGATTTCCGGTCCACGAGACCGTATTTCAGAGCGAGCTCCTGGTGTAGAATTCTGGCCTGCTAGGTTGTGCCTGTGCAAGTACTCAGAGTTAGAAAGCGCCGAACAACCGGAGATGACATGCCTAAGTGACTCCCCGGGATGGCGACAAGCTCGACAGACGTCGACAGTGCCATCCTTTAGGATGTATCTCCGGTAGTTGTTGGTCTTAATTACCTGATCCTGTATTGCACAGACAAAACCCTCGGTTTCCCCCGAAGAGGTCACCGAAACGTACCCAGTTGAGGGAGGCGGCTGTATCTACGTGAGGCTCATGTAGAGCCCTGTAGTACCTGCCATGGAGCTCCTTCTCCTTCCATACGGTCTCCCGGTCGGAAATGCTATGTACTGCCGGGTCTTGCCATTGTTCGTTGGCTAAGGATAGAGGGGTAAGTCCTTTATCACTAGAAATGACGTCATTATAGAATGGATCATCCGATCTCGCCAGGAAGTAATGACGGAGACTGCACACTTCGCGATTATGCATGGTGAGCGCGCTCAAGAAGCCACGACCACCATGCTTCCGCGGCAAGTACAGCCTCATTACCGACGATCTCGGATGATGCATCCTATGGGACGTCATTGTAGTGCGGACTTTTCTATCCAGGGCGTTAAGTTCAGTCAGACTCCACCTGAGTATGCCAAAGGTATACATGAGGACAGGCATGACCCAACCGTTATATGCATGTGTCTTATTCACACCGGACAAAAGGCTGTTAAGCACTTTGGTCAAGCGTGCATAAAACACGTCGCAAACTGACTGTTTCCTACCAGCCTCATCGATACCGATGTTCTGTGACATACCCAGGTATCGGTATGTTTCAGCCTCGGAAATGGCCCTTAGTTGACGGGCATAGATAAGTCTATGCCCTCAGAGTTAGCAACCCTTCCCCTTTCAACATGGAGGACCGCACACTTATCCGTCCCCAGCTCCATTCCAATAGAATTGCTAAATTCACAAGTGATGTTTAGCAATTCCATAAGATGGGAGCGACTGGAGGCGAATAATTTGAGGTCATCCATATAGAAAAGGTGGGTCACTTTTGTACCTCCCTTCCAAAGCTGAAATCCCCTCCCGGAGCCCTCCAGTAAAGTACTGAGAGGGTTCAAAGAGAGGCAGAACCAGATTGGACTCAGACAGTCGCCCTGGAATATACCCCTTCTTATCCTTATGCGGCTTTCCGCAGCCGTCATCCGCTCGCCCAGATGACAGAGGATCGTACTCCACTGCCCCATACACTGCTCGAGGAAGTCTCGAACTGTACAGTCAATCTTGTACAGCTCGAGGACCCTCTTTAGCCATGTATGGGGCACCGAGTCAAATGCCTTTCTATAATCTATCCAAGCGGCGGAGAAGTTCCGACGGTTGCGTTTCACCACTTTGCCAATGACCGCGTCAATGAGGAGTGGTTCCTTGGTTCCACGACCGCCGCCCCGACATCCATTTTGAGTGCGCGACATCATCTGATTTGAGTCCAGGTGAAGAGCGATTCTCGAGCTCAAAATGGATGTTAGTGTCTTGTATATAGTTGGTAGACACGTGATGGGGCGGTATTTGCTCGGGTCTGTGGCCAAATGAGTGATCCCAGTAGTGAAGAGGCTTGGGAGCGACTTCTGGTTGAGAGCCTCTTGAAACTGTCGGGCGAGCACAGCGTGACACACCATGAACCACTTCAGCCAGTAGTGATGCAGCCCGTCAAGCCCCGGACTTTTCCAGTTCTGGGCCCTACGGACCGCCTCAGCTACATCATCCGGTGTTATGGTGACGGGATCCATGGGCGTAATACCCGCACACTGACTCACCACAACTTCCGTCCAAGGGCCCTGACCACAGGCTGCGCCAGAATGCGACCGTGTCGGCCTGATTTGGTGCTGGGCCCGTTCCACTTACTATTGGTCGCTCCAATGATTTGTAGAACCTCTTCTGATCACTCTGGAAGAGACGATTCTAGTTGAACCGTGTCGACCTCTCGGTATATCACCGAATCCGCTTTCCCCAAGCAGCGATTCTTTGCTTCAGGTCGTCTATGCGCTCCGTCAGTTTTTGCGTTATATCCGGCTGTGACAAACTAACATTTGTCCCAGCTAACGCCATCCTGACGGTGCGCACAATCCCTTGGCCTGGATTGTCTGACCTGAAGCATATCAGTCTGCCGATGAGGGCCTTAGCCCTTGCGATACGTTCCTCAATTCTTCTTCTCCATGCTGGGATAGCGCTACTATGGCCAGTAGCGCGTCCAGCCGTGGAAACCTTGGCGCCTATGATACGGCAGACTGCCAACGCGGCGCCAAAAAGAATTGAGTCCGTCTCGCAAAGCTGGCTTCCAAATAGGTCACCAGCATTGGGTTCAGAGCCCTCACGACAGCCCGATTCCGCTTGCTTAGGGCTATGCGGGGAAGTCGCAGTCGATTTTCGAGGGCATACTGCGCGTTTCCACAATCGTCTCCTCCAATGTATCATTTGCTCTAGTTCCAGTTCCTGGGCGACTTGGTTCCGTCATCGTTTGAATCAACCACAACTGGCCTATTCACGGTGGCACCCACATTTGCCGTTTGCTCAGCAAGTTGTGGCGCCGCATCCTCAGCCGCAGCATTTTCACCCGATGAAGGAACAGCCTCACGTCGTAGCCGTTCGAGTTCGGTGACATCAAATGTATTTGAGCGCAAGATATACCGAACTCGGTCTGCCAGGTTTTGCTCGGTGACGATTACAGATGGCTCCAGCTCAGCAAAAAGTCGATGCATCCTTGCCCGATACGCAAAACCTCCAGTTTCTCCCCCTTTCGCCCTAAAATACGCCCGCAATGCGTTGCTGTGCATCTGGGTTGTGCAACGCATGCGGCGTACTCCACCAGTGGCAGGTGACGGTTGCTGGGCCCGCGAGGACCCTGCTGACACCAAACCAGCTAGTGGGGATGATGGATGCGAGGGGCTGCTGGGTGGTCGTGCAGCACCTCGCGCTCGGCTGGCGGTTCGCATGCTGTCGCGTCCAGCGCCAGCTCCAGACGCGCCCTGGCGACCTCCAAGCAGCGGCCCTTTGCGCGTTCTTCCGTATTCCATCATCCATAGTGGTGGTCGTCATTTAGCGGGAGACGCCCAGACCCGGCGCCGTTGAGTGCCGTGATGGTGAGGCCATGTGCACAAGCGGGCCTTTGCATCTTCAATTTTTGCCGAGGCACGGCACTAACACCTCTCGGCAAGGTGCTGACTGACTGCGCTGATGCACCGGTTTTGTCACATAACCGTTACGTCAGCGGGCGATGGGGTCGTCACTTCCCTACGCCTGATATTTATGTATGTATGTATTATTATTATTATTTATATATGTTTTTACACGCGGGTTTTTGTAGATCTTTTTGTTTGACCCTTGTAAAACAGACCATTTTCACAATCTAACTTATACACTCCTGCATATTGTAGAGGAATATTACACTTGATGGATGGTAAAAATTGACTTATCTTCTTCGCCGGTTTGTAGTATGTTTAATGGAAGATATAGCCAACATTGTCTGTGACTCCTCTGACATACGGTAGTACAGCAGGCGCACGCTCAACTATGGCCGGTTTCACTCGGTCACTGTAACTTAGGCGCGTGACCCGAAGCATGTTGTCTTGCAATACTTGCTTGACGTGCTGAAGCTCGGTGGCCAGCTGTTTTCTGTCGCAGATCTCTTGTGCTCTCTGAAATAAAGATTTGGGAGATTCACCATTTAAATATCGGTTTGTATGGGTCTTTTCCTATACACAGTGTGACCAATAGTGTTACGAGAATTTTTAATGAATAAAACATCTAGGAAAGCTCAAGAATTATTTGCCTCTAACTCCATTGTGAATTTTAGTTGTTAGTTGAGTTGATGGAGTTAAGGTGGTCTAACAATGCAGTTACTTTGTCGGATGGTCAAATTGTGAAAGTATCGCCTACGTACCGCTTGTAGAATCTTGGATTTACAGGAGCAGTAAGAAGGGCTTTCTCTCAAAGTCCTCTATGAATATGTTGGCGACTATAGGAGTTACAGGTGAGCCCATTGCCACATCATCTACTTGCTTGTAGAGCTCCTATGTATTTCCAAAATAGATAGCCATATGTGAGGCAGTATTTGAGTACAACTGCATATTCTGCAGGCATGTGGTTATCTTCTAGCTTCCTGGTTATAATTGTGATGCAGTCTTCAATAGGCAGGCATGTGATTAGTGACTGAACACCGAAGTTTTCATTAATAATAACCTCCATACCGAACGTCAACCAAGTGTTCGCGCAAGCACAGCTACACTCTCTTTGCCCTCACTCTCAAAGTCCGATGGGACTGTAATCCGTACGACTGGATAAAGATTCAGGCGCAGGACCATTGTGTACCATTGTGTTTATATTGAAATGTTGTGTAGGTAGCAAGGGCGGGCGGTGATCTTTACAGTGATTACGTCACTCGAGCGCATAGGGTATCCATGAATTTACGGACGGTGTCGGACAGAAACTTTTTTAATTTTATAAAAGAAAATAGGGTTTTTTAAAAACAAATCGGATAAATATTTTTATATTAAAGCCTAAAAAATTATATTTGTAAAATATATAGTATAGTTTATAGTAACGCTATTTATAGTGCTATACTCCTGTTAACTACTGCAAGTTAACCTAAACTGCTTGTGTTAGGGGTGGTTCACGATAGCAGTTGAATTCGGAAGCGGATTCGAAACCACGACTTTTCGAGCTCGCAATCCGCATCCTTAACTATAAGGCTATCGTTATTTTTAAAGTTATTATGTTCTAATACTCTTTAATGATATAACTTAAACTCCTAAGTGTTATATTTAACTTTAAAAATGTATTAGCACAAAGAGAGGAAAGTTACTGAAGTGTGGAAGCGATCCCTAATAAGCATTCAAAGGGGACTTGTCAGTAATCAATGTCATCTTAAACGTGAAGAGAACAGAAAGGGGGTGAGTGAGCGAGACAAAAACGTTACACGATGCGTGTTACATTTACATAGCCCTTTGTTTGTGTCTAAATAATTTAAGCGTAACTCCTTATCATGTGGTTCCGGGATCAAATCCCGAGTCGAGCCAAAATATGTTACGGGGTAATTTTGTTTTGAAATTTTCAGTAGCAGCTGGAGTAGGATAGTTAGCGGTGTTTCACCCTCGTGCCTCGGAAAGCACGTAGACGTTGAGCATGTGCCAGATCTCCCTCTGTTCGCGTCGAATTGTCGCACATCTAACTGTGAGAGTGGGAGAATAGAGTGCACCTGTGTTTTTGTACACACTAGTCCTAATTCTAATCCTAAATACTAAAGTCTAGTGCTGGACAAATACTTCTCCCGTCGTACGAAGGATATTTGCCTAAATCGTTGCACTGAACAGGTAGATTGACTACCGCTGTACAAGACGTTTCGCATGTTTACCGTTGTCACGCGTCGCCAGTCTGGGTATTTTACTACTGATGTAAAAGATTTTATTATACTGCCATCTATCGGAAGTCATAAGATGCTTCTGAAGCTGTCTAGCATACGTCATAATCAGCTTTTGTGTTACTCACAGAACGTAAAAAAGCCTTTTAGTGATCCACGCGTGGTATGACTGTCGCAGTCAACTAGTTTAATTGGCTTTTCAGTTAACAACCTAGCCTTTTGAGTAAACAGGGTCCTTTAACCAGCAGGCTGAATGATATTAAGCTGATGTGTCTAAAACAACATTGCACTTATCCTGTTATATGAGCAACAGTTAGCCGCGTATATTTACATGATATAGCTCATAGTGCGTAATTATGGACAGACCAGCGATATAACATGGCATAGTTACCTTGTACTGTCTAGTGGCGGTGTAAGAAACCGACTACCCCATAACATACACAATTACGATTTGATACGATCCGAGCCATCCGAGCTAGTTATCTAATTTTATTTAGAGAAAAGTCCCTCTGGGTTTCTTGCTACAGACAGAGGTTTTTTTCGAACGAGTGGTAAAAGTAAAAAATGCATTTTTATAAGGATTACATAATAGGTAATCTCTATATTGCAAAAAAATTATTCTATTCTATATACCAGATGAAGTTTTCGTAAGAAATAATACGACGTGGTAAGTGAATAAAAGGAAGTCTATGGCATAGATATTTTTTATTTTTTTAAGTTTTTGACTTTGTAATAATAAAAAACAATTGAAAATTACGAAACTCGAATCATGTCCAACCTATTTTAGGCGTGGCAAGTTGTTGTTCTTGACCTTGAACCGCCCGCTAGAAAAGACGTTTAGTTCAAATTAGTAGTTTTTAATAGTAATGTCCTCCAGGCCGAATTCTGGACAGGACAGGATTATAGTGCCCAAGTGTATGCGCAAGCACTGGTGCACTTTCTATTCCCTTACTCTCATAGTCTGATGGGACGGTAAACCGACACGACCGGAGAGAGATCAGGCGCAGAACCAACGGCTATACGTGCTTTCCGAGGCACCGACGAGGCAGTCAGTATTATAAGAAGCATTTGTTAAAAATCAATTTCATAATTTAGAAAGAAAAAAATAATTTAATTTAATATCTATACCATTGGCTTCTACTGTGTTCATATAATACAACCTATTTTCTTGGGAATGAGCTGTTCCATACCAAGGTATTATTGATTTGTTTTGTGTTTGTATGTACCCTTTTTTACTGGAAACGAGGCATTGCATCTTAGTCCTCAGGGGTGACAACTTAGATGTCTATGGTAGCACGAATATATCGGCTCGACCGGGGCAGGACCACACACTCACAGAATACCAGTGTAAAGCAGCAGCGTAATGCTGCTGTATTTTGTATAGTGAGTTTAGAGAACCGAATACCCTTTTTACTGGAATCGATACATTCCATCTTAGTCCTTAGTCCTCCTTACTTGAGGATAAATGTGGATGTCTATGGGCCTCAGCATCCACTTACCATCAGGTGGACTGTGTGCTCATTTGTCACCCTTACTCCATAAAAAAGAATTAAT